ATCCAAATCATCTAGTGTTTGGTTGATTTTAGCTTGGATAGGATATATTGGAAAATAATCCTATCTTGTGTTTGATTGGAGATTGGATAAGACGGGATTACTATTTCAATGACTAAAATACCCCTTAATTTGTAGGATCGTTTTAGTCAAATAATTTAATAATTTATAAACTTTATTAAAATAAAATAATTTGAAACTTTAGAATATAAAGTAAATCAACGGCTTTCAAATATAAAAATTTACATTCACTCAAACTCAATCCATTCGGACCCTTAAAAATAGGTTCTAATCTAGTTTTTGAATCTAAATTTTAAATTTAAGTAAATAAAGGACTGAGTTTTGACTAAGTTAGGGTTAAATTGAATAAAATGCATCCCAACCCCGTCCTATTGCCATCCTTAATTCCACCACACCCCAACCCCCTCCGCCCTCGCTTCCGTCGGCCACTTGGTATCAGTAGTGCTCAAGACTCCTCCATTCTTTTTCCCTTTCTTTTTTTGATAAATATAAATGTCAATTTTCATTAATTCAAGATAAGGTCCACATTGAGGGCAGAATACACAAATGAAGGAGAAGCATTTAAGCCACTGAGATAACCTAGTACTGTTACAAGATCTAGAGCCCAATTCACTGTTATTGTCATACAGCAAAGTCATTTAGCGAAAATTTTTGTGAGAACGTAAGAGTCTTATATGATATGATTCCCATCAAAGAACCCAACACGTAGAACCAAATATGTAAGTCAAGAATCTAATTTTGATCCAACAATTTAATCTATTAAGTTTCGGGATCTTACTTATATATTGACCACTCTTTCTCCATCTTTCGAATCAATGCGGAACATTATTATTTACTCATGAATCTAACAAATCTCCCTCTTTTATGAGTAACCCTTCACATTAAACCCATAACAAATCTCTCCCTTTTATAAGTAACCCCTCACATTAAACCCAAGATTAAACCCAAGTTTACAAGCTCTTCTTCAAGTCTACTAAATTCTTTGATACTTTGGTTCACCATCCAAACTGCATTCTCGACTCCTGCCAACCTCAAATTTCTTGACACTTTGGTTCACCATTGGTCCACCATCTAAACTGGATTCTAGATGCTTCCCATAACAAATCTCCCCCTTTTATACACTTTGGTTTGCCATCCAAACTGGATTTTAAACTCCTGCCAACCCAAAATTCCTTGACACTTTGATTCACCAAAGTCCACCATCCAAACTGGATTCTAGACCCCTCCCATAACAAATCTCCCCCTTTTATAAGTAACCCCTTACATTAAACTCAAGATTATACTCAAATTTATAAGCTCTTCTTCAAGTCTACTAAATTTCTTGACACTTTGGTTCACCATTCAAACTGGATTCTATATCCCTGCTAACCCTGCCAAACTCATGGCGCCAAATTCCTTGACACTTTGGTTTACCATCAAGAAGAGAAAACCAAATTGCTTGACACTTTGGTTCACCATCCAAATTGGATTCTAGACTTTTGCCAACCTCAAATTCCTTAATACTTTGATCCACCATCCAAATTGGATTCTAGACCCTTGCTAACCCTGCCAAACTCATGGCGCACCTGATGCAACATAAGCCAAATTCTTTGACACTTTGGTCCAGTTTCGCAACCTGAAACTCTGATGCCATTTGTTAGGAAGAAATATCTCGAGAGAACCCATGAAACTCTGATGCCACTTGTTAGGGAGAAATATCTCGAGAAAGTCTATCAAATAGTCTAATATATAAGTCAGGAACCCAACTCTGACCCAAAAGTTTAAACTATTAGGTCTCGAACCTTTACTTACATATTAACCGCTCTTTCTCTATCTCTCGAATTAATATGGGACATAATCCTTTACTCATGAGGCTAACGATTTATGTTATCATACATTTTGCTTTAATTTTTCTCTTATAGTTGGGGAAAACTTTTGTAAAGGGTTGCATAAGTATCTGGTTCAATTTCTAGTTTCTACTAGACATTAAGAGCGTATTTTGTTGCACTTTCTAATGATTTGTTTCTTAAAATGTCTGAACGAATGATTATAACTCTAATAGTTCGAGACTTCGAGTAGGGGTGACAATCGAGTCAAAAATGGGTTGATGGGTCGGGTTGAGACTCGAGTATAACAGGAAACCCGCTGACTCGAACATGACCTGTCAACCCAAAAAGGGTCAGGATACTTGACCGGAACTCGAAAATTTCGGGTTGGCGGGTCGACCCGAATGACCTAAAATATAATTTTAATTTATTAATTTACCACTGTAATTTCTAATAGAACCAATTTCGCACAAGACTAATTACATAATCAAATAATAAAAATTTCAATAAAATAATCTCAAATCAGATCTAAAATAAATTAAAACACCATAAAAGTGTTTTATGTCAAACCAAATCTAAAATAAATTAAAACAATATAAATGTTAAAAATAATGTAATACATTATTTTTCCAAACATAATAATTTCAATTTCACACAAGTTAAATAAATTCATTTAAGATTAAGTGGTTAATGCCTTTGGAAAAAAAGAATAACTTAGTTTAGTTAGATAAAATATTTTTTATATTTATTAAGTTATTTTTAATTCATAAATGGGTTATCGGGTCACCCACGGGTTGACCTATTTTCTTTTTGGGTTCATTAGGTTCGACCTGATTCTGACTCAAACCCGCGAAACTTCAACTCAAACATATTAATTTTGTATTAGGTTCGTGTCGTGTTTTCAGGTCGTGTCAGAAATTGCCACCCCTAACTTTGAGTAGTAGAGAGTTGGGAAGAATTTATATGTGTCTATACATTTAATACAAGGTCTGGACCAATCACTTCTCGAGTATATGATCCAATGTAGAAACCGGTACAATAGACGTAGATGCCAATATTTGATGTAAACATTAATACAATAAGATTCATAGACACAACAAGTTATTGATACCATTGCACTGTGCAATCACAATAGTGAGCGCAGAATATCTGAATCCGTTTCCATCCACCACTGGGTGATGAGAAATAAATTTTTCGTTTCTTAAGCCACGGACCAAAGTCAGCCAAGTCAACCGATGAAATCCACGAGACGAAGAAAAAGAGCATCCATTTCCTCCTCTTCACCTTCCATCATAGAGTAGGAATGACAATAGGCTAATGGGGCAGAGGTTGGGATGGAGGGGAATTTTTTCCCTCCATATAAAAACGGGGCTGGGGCGGCCGCCATCGGCTAAAAATAAAAAAATAAAAAAATATGCATATAATTATATATAATATTTAATTTAATTAGTGACAAATTTTTGATAATAATATTATTAGTTATATATATTATATAATATATATTAGTATATATAATATAATTGATATTATCAATTATACTAGTAATTATATATATTTATTAATAGAAATTATTAATTAGTTATATTAAATTTACTAATATATTTATACTAAATTTACTAATTACACTTCGTACAATAATATTTTTTTTCAAAAAAAAAAATACAAGTACAATAATAAATTAGTGATTGTATTTGTGTTAAATGTGAAAACTTGACCACTTTAGTTGTATTTATTTCATCATGTTAAATTATATTCAAACAACTTTTGTTTGATTATTTTTATGAGTTTTAATTGTGAAATTATAATGAATAATAATTTAGTGATGTATTGATATTTTAGTACTTAAGAATTTGCTAAAATTTTAATAATAATAAAATTATATTAAAAAAATTATTATTAGCCTCGGGGCGGGAGCGAGGGTAATTAGTAGGCAGTGAGGCGGACCCCCCCCCCCTCCCCTCCCCGGCGGGCGGTTGCCATCCTTAGTTATATAGACTAGTAGTTTCTGATATGGTACTAGTAATTCAGTTGTATATACGAGTATGTAATGGAATCAGAATATCAGAGTTTGATTATGTCGTACTAATGATTATAACATTAATGATACTCGAAAAATTGTGTACCTTAGTAGTAAACTATTGATGAAGAATGTCAGCAGTGTACGACAATTGGGAAAGGCTAGTCAGCGCCACTATTCGCAGAGAGGAGCTCCGGCTAAGTGCTCTTAGGACCCCAAGTGATGTTTCTTCAGCATCATTATCATCATCTTCCTCCTTTAACTTCGCTTCCTCTTCTACCAAAGTTTCGTCTTTCAACAATTCCTCCAGATTACCAGCAGTTGGGAAATCTTTTACTCATGATCAAATCCTCCTAGCCACCGATTACTTCAGTAAATCGAATTTCATCAAGCATGGCCGCTCTGGGGATCTCTTTTATGGTGTTTTAGAAGGTGGGCTTCAGGTGGTTGTTAAAAAGGTTGATCTGTCAGTGTCTTCATACTTGGTAAATGAATTGGAAATTCTTGGCAAGGTTTCTCATTCTAGATTTGTTCCTTTTCTGGGGCATTGCTTTGAGAATGGGAATAACACGTTTCTGGTTTACAAATACATGCTTAACAAGGACTTGTCCAGTTGTTTGAGTTATAGGGGAATTGCCCCGGATGGCATTAAAGTTGACTGTCAAAAATCGACATCATTAAGTTGGGCTACGAGGTTGAAGATTGCGACTGGAGCTGCAAAGGGTTTGTGTTATCTGCATCATGAATGTGTCCCACCCCTTGTTCATAGGTAAACCCAAGAATCTTGCTTGTTGGCATATTCATTTTCCTAGGCATAGAGCCTTACCTCCTGATATAATTGAAATGTAAATTTGACGTACATAAAATGTTGAAGGTTCTAACTCGCCCCTACTATCTCAGCATACTTCACCTCATGATAAAGTGATGGCTCTTGAGTTTTGGTTCTGGAATCTTTTTGTGAATGATTCATATGATAGTGTTTGAGCAGTGCTTTTCCTTTTTCTTTTCATTCCTTTTTTCCTTATGTGTCATTTTGACCTCTTGAACATTCCATGATGGGCTTCACCTGTCAATTGGCATGATTTTGGTATAATCGTTACAGAAATGTTGAAGCTCGCAGCATACTAATTGATGAAAACTTTGAAGCACGGATAGGGAGGCTTGCTGATGTCTGTACCGAGAAAAAAGAGAGACATCAGAACAGGATTTCAAGGTTATTATGGTTGCCAAAGTAAGTATTTTGTGCCATGGTGATACTTCTAAGTTTTTGGTGTTCTCGTGAGACTTCCTAGTCAATTCTATTCCCATAAAATGCCTGCTGGTAAATAATCTGCAATATCATGGCCATGTTTTAAACTTCTGAAGAGTAAAATCACAAAATCAAGTGGATCCTTGGAATGAAAATGTTTACAGTATAAGAAGCTTTTCATCAATGTTATAGTTCTAATTGAGGAAACTTTGGGCTTTTATTACAAGAATCAGAGGATTCACTTGCAGTGGCTGAAGGCTTGACATTGTAATGTGTCTCTTTGAACTCATAAAAGAAATAATAGCATGCACATAACTTCTGAACCAGGGGTTCTCTTAGTGATTGACGTATTTAATCTGAAAGAAGCTAAAGGTGTTACTTTACTAGCACTAGATTCTCTTATAATTATCATTTATACCCAATGTATCAAATCTATAGAGTTGTAATTATAATTCATACCCAATGTGACTTATTTGAGTTTTGTGGCTATTCTTTTCTCTTTAGATTCAGGGCTTCGGAAGGAGGCACTGCAGGTATGTAAAATTTATTGCAGTATAGTTTGTTTGTTCTTTTTATTTTTTGCTCTCACTATCGAAAAATGGTAATTAGCCTCTGATTTTCGATTCAATCTGACATCTTACAAACTATAATTCAGAAGGGAAGCAGAATAGAAAACTGGTGGACCATAAATTTAAATGGTGAACAGCTGCTTGAAATTTGAACTGCAAGAAAAAAGAATAGTGGAAATAGCAAAAAAGTTCAAAACTTTGAGAGTTTGGGTGTCCTTAAAGCAGCACTATCATCAGTTAGCTTTGTTATTTTTTTGCGAAAAATTCTTCATCTGCTTATGCCCAGCTACATGTTTGATAAGAAATGGCTTTTAAAGGTTAAACAAGATTACTAAAAGCATATGCTTGACCGTACCTTTGTCTTAATCTTCTCATAAATGACCAGGTTCATCCAATGCAATGTGTGCCTATGACATTTATTGCTTTGGAAAGGTATTGCTTGAACTAGTCACAGGTCATCCAGGTTTTGATGATCACAATGTTTCAAGCATCAATGGTTGGATGGATAAAGTCCTGTGTTACATCAATACTTATGATAAAGAACTCTTTGTGAACATTGTTGATCCATCTTTAGTGGTGGATCAGGATCTCTTGACTGAAGTGTGGGCAGCTGCTGTTGTTGCAAAGGCCTGTCTAAATCCACAGCACTCTAAGCGACCTCAAATGCTACACATAGTTGAGGCTTTAAAAGATCCTAAGTCGGTAAGGTTCTCTACTTATGTAAGATCGTGGCTTGATGGTCAACTTGGCACATCAGAAAAGACGAGAGTAACTGAGGGAATGACTGGAGTAGGTAGGTGCCATAATATTAGAGCCTGAGCTCCAGTTTCTTTTCTGAGCAAGCCTTAATTTGTTTATATTCCTGCTACTTTCTGCTTGGACAATTGAAACTTGTTAGTTCAGACTGGAATCTATTAGGCTGTTCTATTTTTGCACAAATATATTTGTATTAATTACCCTTATGTTCACTGAAATTCTTTCAGCAGAATAGTTCAAAATTTTAACCAACAGTAGGCAAATTTTCCACAATACCTATCCCAGCATTTTAACACGGTTCCTTTGTCAATTTTTTTTTTATCTTTGGTACAATTATTTTTGTGAAACAATTGGTTTTTGTTTATTTTAATTTCCTTTTTTATACCTTCCATTTCAAGAGCTACCATTGGTGTGGTGATACTTTGAAACTACCTTAACTTCTTTTAACTTCTTTGAGTCACATTTACATGATAAAACTGTTCCACTTGCCCCCCAAGTTTTTTATGTGTAAAATCATTAGACCGGGACAAAGGACAATTATAAGTGCATTTTGGCCAGGTACATCACAGGCAAACACCAATGCTGCATTTTCAATTGGGGATAGCAAAAGTGAGGAGGTTTATCCAATTGGGGATATCAGCGACCTCCCTAACTTGAGAATTTACACTTACGCAGAACTCTTAGCTGCAACTAAAAGTTTCAGAAGTGATAGAGTGCTGGGAGAAGGTTGGTTTGGAAGAGTATACAAAGGTTGGATTCATGATAAGTCCACATCAAAGGGCGGCAGTCAATCACCTGTTGCAATTAAAAAATGGAATCCTGAAAGTCTTCAAGGAATTGAGCAGTGCACGGTAATTCAAACTAAGCTTGTAACTGACTGAAGATATACAGTCATTTTGGATTTAATTGGTATCAGCTTTTTTCTTCCTTCATGCACATTGTTCATCTTAGCTGAATCAATTATGTTGGCACATAAAAGACTGGAACATAAAAGGGTGGAACAAAGCTTTCCTTTTTGTAGTGCCATCTCTCTTGAAATAATTCATTACTGACCTTTCTTTAGGCATATCATCTCCCTGACAAAGAAAAAAGAAGAAGAAAAAGGTCCAGTTGTTCATCTAAAGCTGTTTTTTATTATCAACAAAATTGCTTGCGTCAACTTCCAAAAAGGAATCTTTCATGTTGATGACTTGATAGATCATACTAACAATATACAAGAAGAGTCAAATGCATTAGACCTACTTAGAATTTGGCCCAAATTATGCTATATCTGGTGTTGCCAGTCACAGTTGTCATGGACATGTATTCACAGAATGGACAAAAAAAAAAGTTTCCCTTGCATGGTTCTCTTTCCACTGCCCAATGGGTAGTGGCATGTACAGAACAGCTAGTGAATTTAGATCTAGCAGTTTAAAATACAACACTATTAGATGAAGGGAAGGAAATTAAGTATGAAGACTGAATATTCAAAACTTCCATGATTAAGGTCAAATAAGAAGGTGCAAGGTTGCACAACAATTTACATTAATAGAACCTGAATGTTAGTGGATTGGCTTATGAGTTTTTTACTGAAGAAAGTGTTTGTTATATCTTCTACATTTTCCACTTAAAAGAGGAAAGGAGAAAGGTGGTTGACGTTGTTAAATATGTATGTCAATTCCTCGTGATTTATGAATAGATACAATTCACCTTGTGTGTTGATGTCAAACATTTCCTGAGTTGCTTCAAAAGGTTCTTTATATTTCTTTATGCAGTCCGAGATATGGATGCTTGGAAAGCTTTCTCATCCTAACCTTATTAAGCTCCATGGTTACTGCTGGCATAATGGAGCATTGTTTGCTGTTTTTGAGTATATGCAAAAGGGCAGCTTTAAGAATCACCTCTTTGGAAGTGAGAGTTTTACTATCCTAACAGTATTTGCAAACAGCTTTGCATCATCTAAGGTATTGATCTACCATGCAGTAATTTGTGTCGTGGTGTTTTTTATATTTTTAGGGGGCTCTTCTATTCAGCCACTTCAATGGGATGTAAGGTTTAAGATCTTAATTGGAGCTGGTCGTGCTCTGGCATTTTTTCATGCATTAAAGAAACCAGTTATCTACAGAGATTTCAAGGCATCGTCCATATTACTTGATGGTGTAAGTTAGATCGATATACCTCATTAATACTCATATTTTTTTTATTAATCCAAGTTTATTGGATGCAAAATTTTCTTGATTTGTCTGCTAAAGCTAAAATTTCTTTCTTAGACTCCATATGCTTGCTGTAAAAATTTTACTTACATACCAATTTAGGTTATGAATAATGCTGTTTTGAGATTGAACCATGGGAAGCTTCATTGCTTTTAACATTGATCAAAACATTCTGTTTTCAGTCTTACAATGCCAAACTATCAGATTTTGGCTTGGCAGAGATGGGTCCTTCGGATAGTCAATCACATGTGTCGACACATGTTATGGGGACCTATGGCTATGCTGCTCCCGAGTATATAGCAACAGGTAATCATTCATAGATCTTTTAAGCTTCTTGCTTGTTATCATGGCAGTAGTAGAAGCTAAAGTTTTGATTAGTTTGGCTTAAATCAAGTCTGAGCCAGATGCCAATCGAAAGGTCAAGAGTCATAATGACGTGGAATTCTTATGTAACAGGACACTTGTATGTGAAGAGCGATGTGTATGGTTTTGGTGTTGTATTGGCCGAAGTGCTAACAGGTTTAAGGGCTCTGGACGTTAATCGTCAGCAGGGGAAACACAACTTGGTTGATTGGATCAAGCCTCATTTATCGGACAAAAGAAAGATAACGAGCATAATGGATTCTCGGTTGGAAGGCAAATACCCAATAAAAGCTGCTGTGGACGTGGCTCAGCTTACTCTAAGGTGTCTTGCTTCTAATCCTGAAGCAAGACCATCAATGAAAGAAGTTGTGGATGCACTAGAACACATTGCATCCGCTAAATGATGAGCCAAAGGAACCAGGGACGATTTCGACGTGCCAGATAGTTCATGGAACCAAGGCATGAAGGGCATCCACCCTGTCTCCCACAACATATAATGCCCTAATCTTGCTTTCTCAATGAACAGATCCTTTCACACATTTTTCCTACTTAATACGGCTGTTTGTTGTTTCTTCCACATTTTCGCATCTTTGAAACTGTATAGAGTTTGTCTTTGTAGTAGCATAATTACTGGAAGGAGGACTTGGGGGCTGATGTCTCATCATAAATTGTTATTGAAAATGAGTCACTTGTGCCCAAGTTTCTGCAAAATACACATCACATTCTGGTGGGATATTGAGAAGATTTCAACTGTTGATTGGTTATTGCACATTTAACCCCTTCTGTTAAGACCCTGAGGATGATGCTTTCAAACATTTACCTAACGTCAAATTTGTGGGAATTGAGATGATACCAACTGTCCTGTATCCTTTTACACGGTATCTTATTTTGGACATTGAGAAAATTTCACGTGAAGAAAAATATCATGAATCTTGAACCTGATATAGTGCTTATACACATGGGCTGAGGCTTTCTAGTTTCTAAATGGCATATTCTTAGTTAAGTTTACAAATGCAGTAATGTATAGAACGAAGAGGAACAGGATTGTCCTGGTAAAGTAAATAAGGGAAAGAATTAAGAGAAAAGCTTGCAAATAACAAATCCTAACATTAATGGGTCTAGACAAGAAGGAATTATTCTTTATTACCATGGGTTTCCTGGTTTTTAGTTGTGGAGGTATACAAAGATTCAGATGAAAAGATAAAGGTAAAAATGGAGAAAAGAAAAAGGTTAAACTGCCCATGCTCAGGAAGCTTAATATTTATTTTGCACGCTTGTTGAACCTCATTAAACCATTTCATATATAGACTCCTTTTTCATTTGATTAGTCAAAAAATAAAAGTTGCTTCTACATGAAGCTTACCTATTTCAAGTTTATTTTATGTAGAAATCCTCTTCTTTTTCCTCATACTCAAGAAATCTATAGTTGCTTTACATTTATAGATTTCTTTTTAAACTTTTGATACAACTAATTTATTAATCAAATGGTAATAACAACATAAATACTTTTGCTACCACAAAAAAAAAAAGAACCCGTAGGTTCTTTTATTTAATTTTTTAGACTCAAGATCAGTATATGATGGTCATGACCTAATAATTAATTAAACAGAATGTCGATATTTGTTTATATCTTTTTTGTTTTAGGCATTTCATTTTTATAGTCTTGTTCTCTTTCTCATTATATGATGCTTTAAAAAGTATAAAAGTTACTAAGATGACTTTTGACAAAAAAAAAAAAAAAAAAAAGTGCTACTAGTTACGATAGTCTACCATCCTAGCCTAAAAATATGTCACGTTTAGAACAAGTAAATGGAAAGTTAGCCACTGTTTGGATTTTTTTTTATCAAAAAATTTATTTTTTTTCATGAATTTTTCTTACACATTGTCGAATTATACTAACTTTTCCTACAGATTTTACTAGATTATGTTTTGTATTAGAATAATCTGAAGAGTAAGTATATTTGTTAACCAAAGATCATGTTGGTTTGTTAACAAATATTTTTGCGAAGATTTGCTAGTAGAAGATTATGTTTCGTTGAGATTATTTTAGGATAATTGCTAGATGGATATTTTGTTAGTTTATTTCATGTAAACACTATAAATAGTGAGTTGATGAATAAATAACACAAGCTTATTTTTAGATTCAATACAAGTTTCTTATAAGTTTTTTTTTTTTTGCAACACGAAGGTGTTTTTTCTTAGTTTATACTCCAAAAAATCAACACTTGTTTTTCAATCGCCTTTTTATTTTATATACATCACATTTTAAATTATGCCACAGTAATCCCCCAAAAACTCTTAAAAATTGCAATGGGAACACAACCTTAGCTATTTCTAACAACAAATCTAATCAAAAAAGGAAAAAAGATAAAGGAAAAGATAGCTCCTCCTTAAAGTCTTTGATTCTTAATGTATTTATTAGCATAACTAATCATTGGCCTTAAGAATCCAAAATATTTGGAAAGTAAATGACAATAAAGTGAAGAATAGTGTATCCAACTATGGTCGTACTACACAAATATTCAATGCCATTATTAATCAGTTATAAATCCATTAAACCCAAGAGCGCATTCACTTTTCACCTAGGAGTCAAATGAGACCCCATAATACATAAAAATCTAGGCCTTCTGAGAGGATTCAGGAAATTACATGAAGCTGATATGATAAATCTTGAACCTGCTACAGTTGTTAGGCCAAATCTTGAAGTCAACTTCTCTTCTTTTTTTTTTCTTTTCTATTTTTTCCCCTTCCTGTTAGCTACTTTGCATCAGTAGTGCTCAAGACCCCTCCATTCTTTTTTCCCTTTTTTCGATAAAAAGAAATGTCAAATTTCATTGATTCAAGACAATGTCCACATTGAGGGCAGAATACACCAATGAAGGAGGAGCATTTAAGCCACTGAGCTAACCCTATTACAAGAATTTTTTTGCTAGATTATGCTCCGGATGGTTAAAAGATCTAGAACCCAATTCACTGTTGTTGTCTTGCGGAAAAGTCATTTAGCGAAAATTTTGAGTTCAAATTTTTTTTTTGTTTTGTAAGAACGTAAGAACCTGATGAAGATTTTTTTTTTTTTTGTTTAAAATTCAGCACTAATCCCAGTACACCTAAGATAACTGACATGAGTTATGTTATCATACATTTTGCTTTAATTTTTCTCTTGTAGTTGGTGAAAACTTTTTGTAAAGGGTTGCATGAGTCTGCGGTTCATTTTCTAGTTTCTAGTACTTAGTAGAGGGCATTGAGAGCGTAATTTATTGTATTTTCTAATGCCTTGTTTGTTAAAATGCGTGAATGAAGGATTATAATTCTAATAGTTCAAGGCTACGAGGTGTTGGGAATAATTTTTCTGTGCTTATATATTTAATACAAGGTGTGGACCAATCATTTTGTGAATTATTAATTTCAAATATATGGTTCAATGTAGACATTGCTACAATAAATGTAGATACTAATATTTAATGCAAACATTAATACAATAATGTGTAAACATAAACACAACTTTTTGATACCATTGTACTTTTGCAATAAAAAAAAAAAAAAAAAAGAATCCGTTTTCATCCACCACTAGGTGATGAGAAATAAATTTTTCGTCTTTTTTGCCACGGACCCAAGTCAGCCAAGTCAACCGATCAAGTCCACGAGACGAAGAAAGAGATCCATTTCCTCCTCTTCACCTTCCATCATAGAGTTAGACTAGTAGTCTCTGATATAGTACTAATAATTCAGTTGTATGTAAAGTATGTAATGGAATGAGAATATCAGAGTTTGATTATGTCGTACTAATGATTACAACATTAATGATCCTCGAAAAATTGTGTACCTTAGTAGTAAACTATTGATGAAGAATGTCAGCAGTGTACGACAATTGGGAAAGGCTAGTCAGCGCCACTATTCGCAGAGAGGAGCTCCGGCTGAGTGCTCTTAGGACCCCAAGTGATGTTTCTTCAGCATCATTATCATCATCTTCCTCCTTTAACTTCGCTTCCTCTTCTACCAAAGTTTCGTCTTTCAACAATTCCTCCAGATTACCAGCAGTTGGGAAATCTTTTACTTATGATCAAATCCTCCTAGCCACCGATTACTTCAGTAAATCGAATTTCATCAAGCGTGGCCGCTCTGGGGATCTTTTTTATGGTGTTTTAGAAGGTGGGCTTCAGGTGGTTGTTAAAAAGGTTGATCTGTCAGTGTCTTCATACTTGGTAAATGAATTGGAAATTCTTGGCAAGGTTTCTCATTCTAGATTAGTTCCTTTTCTGGGGCATTGCTTTGAGAATGGCAATAACACGTTTCTGGTTTACAAATACATGCTTAACAAGGACTTGTCCAGTTGTTTGAATTATAGGGGAATTGCCCCGGATGGCATTAAAGTTGATTGTCAAAAATCGACATCATTAAGTTGGGCTACGAGGTTGAAGATTGCGACTGGAGCTGCACAGGGTTTGTGTTATCTGCATCATGAATGTGTTCCACCCCTTGTTCATAGGTAAACCCAAGAATCTTGCTTGTTGGCATGTTATAGCCTTGCCTCTTGACATAAATAAAATGCAAATTTAGAGGACAAAAAATATTGGAGGTTCTAACTGGGCGGCAATACCTTACAGCCCTTCACCTGATGGTAAAGTGATGGCTGTCCAGTTTTGGTTTTGGAATCTTTTTGCACGTGAATCGCATAATAGTGTTGGAGCAATGCTTTTCCATTTTCTTTTCATTCCTTTTTTTTTCCTCACGTGTCATTTTTTAACTTTGAGCATTCCATTATGGGCTTCACTTGTCAATTGGCATGATTTTGATATAATCGTTACAGAAATTTTGAAGCTCGCAGCATACTTATTGATGAAAACTTTGAAGCATGGATAGGGAGGCTTAGTGAGGTCTGTACTGAGAAAAAGCAGAAAAATCAGAACAGGATTTCAAGGTTATTACGGTTGTCAAAGTAAGTATTTTGAGGCGTGATATTTCTAAGTATTTGTTATTCCTGTGATACTTCTTAAATTCTATCCTGATATAGTGTCTAGTGATTAATATTCTGCAATGTTAATTTGGCCATGTTTTAGTCTTGAGAAGAGTTTAATGACATAATCAAGTGGATCCTTGGAATGAAAATATTTAGAGTACAAGAAGCTTTTCATCAATGGAGTAATTGTAATTGAGAAAACTTTGGACTTTGACTACAAGCATCAGAGGATTTTCTTGCAGAGGCTGAAGCCTTGACATTGTAATTTATCTCTTTGAACTCATAAAAGGAATAACAACACGCACATAAATTCTGTACCAGGGGTGGCGTTAGTGATTGATGTATTTAATCTAAGAAAGAAGCTAAAGATGTTACTTTATTAGAGCCGGATTCTCTTGTTTAAGCATACAACAGTATTTAGTTAATCAAATCTATCATGCCTTATCATCTGCAGAGTTGCAACTGCAATTCTTACCTAATGTCAATTATTTGAGATTTTTGATAATACTCCTTTTTCTTTATATTCAGGGCTTCTGAAGGAGGCTATGCAGGTATATGAAATTTATTTCAGAAACCGTTCGTTTGTTCTTTCATTTTTTTTCCCTATCTTTGCACTATCTAGAAATGGTAGATTCGCTTCTGATTTTCAGTTCAATCTTACATCTTACACACCAAATTCAGAAGGGAAGAAGAATAGAAAACTGGCGGACCATAAATCTGAACCGTGAACAGCTGCTTGAAAGTTGAAACCGTAAAGAAAAATGAACAATGGGAATAGCAAAAAAGTTCAAAACTTTGAGAGATTGGGTATCCACACAGAACAATCACCAGTTAGCTTTATTATTATTTGGTTCAA